CCCTCAGACACAAAAAACCCCAGAGCAGAGCTGGGAGTATTAAAAGCAAAGGCTGAAGCCCTGTTTAGGAAAGCAGCAGTTCCAAGGGGGATGCTGCTGATGTCATGGCATTTAAACGTGGCCTGAGTCACAGGTTCCTGAGGAAGTGGCAACACCTACGGAATTGCTGGATAAAAGTCAGCCCTGGAAGCACAAAATGAAAATAAAAACACTCCCAGACAAAGCAAAAACCTCAAGGAAAATCGTGCCTGCTTTAGAGAATCCCTCCCTGCTAATGTGGGGGAAGTCTGCCACTGGGAATGGAGATGGACTGGGAGTGGAGATGGACTGGGAATGGAGATGGACTGGGAATGGAGGTGAATGTGGGAGTCACTGAGAGCCCTCTGCAGGGAGCCTGCAGCACTGGGGATGTGGGGAGAGAGGGAAGGGGAAGATAGAAAGAGGAAAGAAGGGACACCAAAAGCCATCAAACCCCAGAGCTCAAATGCTCTCAGAGCACAGACATGGAAGCTTCCCTCCTTCCCTGCTTTTCCCAGTGAGGAAACAATGCCAGCAGCTCTGCTCCAGGCAGCTTTAGCCTGCACTGGTTTCCTCTGGGAAGCAAAACCATTGCAGCACGGAGCCTCCAGCCTGCATTTCACATGCCTTGAACCTGCAGCATGCACCAGTGCAGCTTCTGAGAGGAGCCAAGACCATCAGAAGACCACAAAGACCACTGGACCAAAAGGGAAATGAAGGCAAACCCCTAGAGCAGCTGTCCAGTTTAACATCTCTCTCCTGCTTCCCAGTGCAGAACAGGATTTCACTAACAAATCAAACAATGAATCATCCTGCTGGGATCTTGCACAAGTCAAGAGTCCCGGTGCCAAGGCTGAAGTTCCACACGAGCCTGAGTTTTTGCATGCTCAGACTACTGAAGCAGCAACCCACAGCCAAGGAATGTAAGAACAGAAAGTAACTGGATGGGAGAGGAGGGAAATGACAAGGAATCAGTTTTGAAAACTCTTTGATTTGGAGCAGCACAGCACTGTTCAGCTGCTCCTGTCCTTTCCTGTTAGCTCTCTACAATATTTTGTTAAGAAGCCATTTGACATTTTCACATTGAAAATGAAAGGCACGTGTGCATGTGACCTTCACTGCAGAGACAAAGCCCATTGTGCTTCCTATCAACGTCCTACACAAACATCCAGGCAGGAGCAGGAGGAAACAGGCATTTAGGGAGATGGATGGAGGGATTGGTGCTCCCTGCCAGGAGCTCCCTACCAGGAAACACAACCCAGGCTGTTTTTAGAACTCCTGATTGTCCTTTTCTCCCTAAACCCAAGGAGCTCCAAGGCAAGGGAGCTCTGGCTTGATGAAGCAGAAGGAACCTGAGCTGGTTAAATTCTGACAAATAACTGGTGGGTTCTGAAAATCTATCCTAAACAACCCCACTGCATTTGAGTCACAACAGGCTGATAATGCAATTAGTGAGGCTGCAATTAGAGCTTGAACTTAAATACAGTTGGAGCAGACACCTGCACCCTCATCCTGGGGTGAGATCACCTGGGCTGGGAAATGAGGTGAGAAAATGCTGCCCTAAGTCATGGAACAGCTGAGGGTGCTTAGAGCACAGCACTGCCACTCCAGCTCAGAGCTGCTAATTCTTCTGGGAGGAGCTTCAGCCTGGTTAAAATAATCCTCAAGCGGCTCATTCCAGGCATTCCTTTCCAAACCGGGCTGGTGGAAGGATGAGCATTGCTGGGTGGCAGTGCTGGCCTGAGGAAAAAGGGGAGCACGAGGCACAGCCTGGTTAGTAAGCCTTCAGCACGGCAGCAGAACAGTTCTGACCCAGGATAACTGAGAATAAAGCTCAGAGAGGTTCTTGACAAATTATCAATAGAAGTAAAATGAGAGGAAAAAAACCTCAGTAAACTGTTAGGGTATTTTTACTTCCAAACCTGCCAAGTGCTGCACAGGTAAGAAAATGAACTTTCCAGAAATGATTGTCCTGGAAAGATGAAGAGGCAACAGAGAGGGCAGCTCCAGATGAATTTCAAACCTAAAGCATGGCCTGAGCGGTGTTTTTTGGGCTCTGGAGAAGGGCAGGCAGCTGCAAGGGAAGGAGAGCTGGAAATGGGGCAGGTAGGCAGGGTTTCCATGGGTTAGGAATTTACACCCTGGCACAGTCCAAAGTCCTCCTAGTGTAGTATTTCTGCCTTTGAAAACAGTTAATCCAGGTGCTCTGCGAGAGCAAAGGTGCACAACAGCCTCTGGAAGGAAAGTCTCATTCTGGCAGGATGTGCACGAGCACATCAGCTGCACCGAAAATGAAATAAAAGAAAAGAAAAAAAGGAATTAATGAAGCCAAATGGTAACTGGCTGGAGACATCTTCCAGGCTCTGTTTCTTATGAAGTCAGCTAAAATTTCCCATGTTGCAAATTCTTCTTTAATGGCTCTCTTTGGAGTATAAATGCTTACTTGTTTCGAAGGAAAGCCTTGCATTGTTATTTCAAGAAGAAATTCAAAATCTGGCAGTAAAGTCCCATCACTGAGCTGCTCCTGCTCTCCTTCCCTGTGTGCACCCTGACTGCAAAGTCCCAGAGCAGCAATGCCTGAGCCAGGCACACCAGAGTGGCCTGGAGCACGTGGAAGGAGCAGACAGGCTGGGGCTGTGCCAGCCTGAAATGGATTTTCTTCTGCAAGGATGTGAGCAGCCCTTCCTATTCCCACAAGAATTGAGAGCTGGGACTCGCCTGGAACTCTTAAAATTTGGTTCTTCTTTGAAGAGGAACTATATAAAAATAAACTCATGGGTTGTGTGAGAGGCAGAGTGTCCTTGAGCAGCAGCAGCAGTGACCTCACCCATCCCTGGCCTCGGGGAGAGTCCTGCACAGCAAAGTCTGTTCCCAAAAACCATCTCAGAATCTCACTGCTTTTATGGTGTGGTTGAAAAAGGGGAAGAAACTCAAAGGGAAATTGGGAGCTGGGTGAGTTCTTCATGGCCCAGCACAGCCCCAGAGCAGAGGTGAGCTGGAAGGGCTGCAGGAACCCTTGGATTTGATGATCTGAAGGGTCTTTTCCAAGCAAATGCTTCTCTGATTCCATCACCAACCCCAGCCAGGCAAGTTAACAGATATTCAGGAAGAACTGGCTCACTAGAGGGAGAAACAAGTGTTAGCAAATGGTTCCACAGAGTAAAGCTCAGAAATAAACCCCATCTCAGTGAGTTTTCTAAAGAAGAGCACAAGTGAAAAACTAAAATAAAGTGCTTATAGATGGCAGAGTCACTCAATTTTGCAAATACTTCTGTGGCATCTGTTTAAGGTGAGCAGCCAGAATTTATACAAAGAAACAAGATTAGAAATATTTAATGTCAAGGGGTTGGAAAGGACCTTTAAGAGGATCCAGTGCCACCCCCTGCCAGGGACAGGGACACGCAGAAATGGGGCAAGAATATCAAAGATGACAAAATGGGAACTTTGGTTTACCTCACTGGGCTTCTCTGAGGACACAGGGAAGGGAAAACATTTTTCCAAGCCCAAACAATGATTTTAAGGCCTGGAACAGTCACTGCAGTTTCCTTTGTTGTGCCAAAACACCTCCAGGGCTGCTGCCTTCTACTGAGGCAGAATGTCCTTGGTTCTCGGGAGCCATCCTGGGAATGGAACTCCTGTGGGTCCTTCTCAACCAACCTGTCTGGGCCACCACGGACCCTCCTCCCTGCATCTCAGTGTGATTTGCACTTTTGGGCAAATATCCCAGAGCTGAAGGCTGCAGACTCAGAGCAGCCACTCTGGGAAGGGCTCTGGCCACGGCTGTGGTGGCACCAGGACTGTCCCAGGTGTCCCTGAGGGAAATCCATCCCCAAGGAGCAGGGCTCCAGGGAAGGGAACTCCCACAGAAACTCACAGTCCTCACTCTGATGGATGTGGTTCCCAAATTCTAAACCCCAGCCAGCAGGACACACTGCAGGGGTGGTGGAGAAGCAAAATTCCAGCTGGCACAAGTGGGAAATCACAACAGAAGCTGCCATTCATTCCATCAGTTTCTTTAATGCTCAAGTACAGAAGTGGTGTCAGAGCTCTCCACTGAGACCTCCTAGCAGAATGAAATGTCCCCAGATGAGGTACAGGGGTGTCACAGCTGCAGGCTGCCATAAAATGCCAGTATATTCCTATTAGATAATGAAATAATGTGAGCAGGATCCTCCGAGGCTGCTCATTCCCTCTTCCCAACAGGTTTGGTTCACACCTGGAAAGCCCTGGCTGGGCCCTCCAGTGGAAGTTCAGGTTAATTGTTTATATTAACTGTTTAAAAGGAATCACCAACAGCATTTTATGAACTGTTGGCTGGCACCAGTGGAGAAAATTCAGTACTTTTCTCTTCACTGGTGCCATGGTGCAGGAGCTCCTGGCAGCACCAAGAACATTAAAATCCCAGCTCCTCCATGAAGAAAGGAAAGTTTAGCTTGTCCCAGTAAACAGCAAGCACTGGAGCCGGGCTCTGGGCAGAAATCCTGTATAAGTGCATACAAGGCAGCAAATAATTGTGTTCATCTGCCATTAGTATTTGAATGTACATTCATTCATTCATTGGAATGGATTCTCACTCAAAAAATTCCCAGAAATTCAGCAAAAGCAGTAATTTCCAACAGCCTGCCTTAGAGAATCCCTCCCTGCTAATGTGGGGGAAGTCTGCCACTGGGAATGGAGATGAACTGGGAATGGAGATGGACTGGGAATGGAGGTGAATGTGGGAGTCACTGAGAGCCCTCTGCAGGGAGCCTGCAGCACTGGGATGTGGGGAGAGAAGGAAAGGAAAAGGAAAAGGAAAAGGAAAAGGAAAGGAAAGGAAAGGAAAGGAAAGGAAAGGAAAGGAAAGGAAAGGAAAGGAAAGGAAAGGAAAGGGATAGGGAAAGGGAAAATAAAAGAAAAGAAGGAAGACAGGACACCAAACCCCAGAGCTCAAATGCTTCCAGAGCACAGACATGGAAGCTTCCCTCCTTCCTTCCAAGGAAGACAGGACACCAAAACCCAGAGCTCAAATGCTTCCAGAGCACAGACATGGAAGCTTCCCTCCTTCCTTCCCAGTGAGGAAACAATCCCAGCAGCTCTGCTGGAACAAGAACTATTCTGGTCCACAAGGAGAACAAAACCAACACTTTAGTCAGACAAGGGAGGATATTCCAAGCCAGAGTGAAGAGTTCTGCACATCAGGGACATCAGGGGAGCAGAGGGCCAGGAAAGAGCCCAGCCTGGCAGAGCTGGTGGCACTGCAGTGACAGAGGGAAGGACACATGGCACTAACCCTGAGCCTGAACCCTTCCTGCCCTGCACAGACACCTCCCAGGCAGAGTTTCAGGCACTCAAAACAATTATTAATGTTTACCAGGCTCAGAAAGATGTGCAGCTTTCAAGTCTTAGATAACCCCAAACTGCAGAGCCATTTACACTCCACGGTCAGCAGCTCCCAAAGATAAAAAAAGCAGATTATTCCCTTTAAACTCTCCTGGCACCAACTCGTGGCTCCAGCTGGACTATGGCATGGTTAAAAACACACCAGCAAAGCCATGATGTATTTACACTGCTTTAAAAATGCAGATTTCAGGGTTTCAGTCTCAGCCTTCAGAGCCTGACCACCAAGAGATGACTTGCTCTGATTACCAGCTCTGATTTTCAAAATATATTGCATTCATATATATTTTTATATTACACTTCAGTTACCTAAACTAGACATTCCCCTAGGTAAGAAATGATGTAAATATAATGACTATGGTAATAAATAAGTAGAAATAATAGCTATTTTAGACAATACTGGCTATTTTAGACAATAATGGCTATTTTATACACTTGGTGCAAACCTCAGCAGGTTTCAATACATCATTTCTGATCAGAAGATGGGAGTTGCCTATTTTTGACCTGCCTGAACTTGTTCTCATGAGAGAGAAGCTGGGAAATTTTCTACAAAAAAAATCTTCAGAGCTTATATTAAGGAAGGAACTAAAATAATTGGATTGACCAACTAATTTTCATAATATATCTGGGAAAAAGAGGCTGCATGGCAGATGAAGCGATTTGCATTTTTTCTAAGTGAGTTTACTCATAAACCCCACAATATAAAGCTATGAAAGGGATTTCAAATTTCCTTCTAAAACCTATTCCAAGTTAAGACAAATAGATTCAATTTTGCAGTAAAATGTACTATGAGATTTTAAAACTCCATTTTTCTCAAGCTATTTTTTAAACTCAAGGATTTTCAAACTTCTGTTTTTGCTTACTAAGCCACTTGAAAAAATTCAATGAATCAAAAAGGAAAAGAGAATTGCTCTTTTTGAACACCTGCAAGGTTCTGCATGACCACACCCAAGAACAGCAAAGTCAGAGAACAAATTTCTCATTTCACTGAAGCATTTCCCTACAGGTTTTGACTGAATCAGTGATCCACCACCTCCTAAAGTGATTTTTGACCATAGAACAGAGGCTTCCCTGAGCTTCAGGGGAGCCTAATCATGATATAAATGCATTTTGGTCTTTCCTGGGCAAAAATCAGCCAAAGCACTTTGTTTCCATAGCATGAAAAGATGGGATCTTCACAGGGAACAACAACTCCGTGGACACATCCAGAACAACTGCACCTGAAATTCGTGTTTGCAAATAATTCCTGTGGTGGAGGCAGCAGGTTCAGCTCCTTCCCCACTCCTCCCCACCTTTAAACACTAAATTTAACTCCCAAGAGCAGAAAGTGCTCAATCTTCACAAATTCCACCTGAAGTGCCCCAAATCTGAGCGAGATGAAAAAAGCCATTCAGAATTGCTGCTTGGACATGGCCACTGAGAAGCAAAATAAAACCTGGCCCAAACAAACCACCCAGAATTACTTAAGCAGCATTTTTTATATGTAAGCCATATTTAGAAGCTTTAAAAAAAAAGAAAAAAAAACCCACAAAAAAAAAAAAAAAAAAGACAGACCAGGTTTGAACACAAGCACATTGCTGCAGTTATTTACACAATAAAAATGAAAACATGGTGAGTTCTGTCCATGAGAGACTGCTTTTTCAGAGAAGTTATTCATGGCAAAACGTGGGTTCTGTTTGTTTGTCTTTCCAGCAGTCAGGAGGGGTAAGCAATCATTAACTCCTCAAAGCAGAGATAAAAGGCAGGGCTGCACTCCAGAGCATCCTCCTCCTCCTCAGCACCTGATTTCAAACTGTTTCATCATCACTCATGTCCCAGATCTGCAAGAAAAAAAGGAATTTTAGCTTGTGCAGTTGAAATATGCTCTTAAAACACTGAAAAATTCACATTGCTGTTTAAAAGCAATAATAAATAGCATTTTATGAACTGCTGACTAGCACCAATGGAGCATTACAGAAAAGTCAGTATTTTTCACTTCTGTTAACAACCACACACCAGTAATTATTTGTCATCTTGGGGGTATTTTTAACATCTACTTTTCAGCATTTGTCACTTTGGCTATTTGGTCTTTATTATTATTTACAGAAAAGAAATCAATTTGGTTATTTGCTATTTATTGTCATTTACAGATAAATAACAAATAGCCATTTACAGATAAGAAATAAATGTGGCTATTTGCTGTTTATTATCATTTCCAGTGAGGCTCAGATGAAGCCCCAGCCATTTTGGGTTGGTTTGCTGATTCATTGGCACACACCTCACGTGAGTAATCACTTCTAATAAACAGCTTATCTTACTAAACACTGCAGAGAAATTCTAGACATTGATGAAGAATTAGTTGGTCGTTTTACACCTAGATATTAGATCTCATAAACAGCACCTTAAGGACAAGAAGTTTTGTGGGAATTTGTGCCTTTCTACTGCTTAAGAAAGAATTAAACTACAGCATTTTTTCCTGCTGTGTAACTTCATTGTACTTTTACTTTCTGACTTGCCCTTGGCCAGTAAATCGTTCTGTTTGGGGGAAAAATGAGTATTTTCCCAGAATATCCAGGTGTCCTTGTGAGCACACTGAGGTGCAGAGGTGGAAATTCACACCAGGGACTTGCAGAGCTGTCTGGGGGGAGAAAATATTCTCATTATATCCTCCAAGCTTTTCCTTCCTGAGAAACAGGGATGCTCCTAAACCACTTTTTTCTGATATTTTAGAGGTTTAGCTCATGGCAAAGCCCCTCTTTGTACCTGGCAGGGTTTAAGCTCAGGACTAACACAGGTACTGAGCCTCCAGCTGGATTTAATACCAGCAACACCAAGTTTATGACACATGAAACTGCATCTGTGACTGGAGCATTTCACACTTGCCAAATTATCTGCAACACTTGTGGAGTGCTGCAGATGACACATGACAAGTGGTCTGGAGGAGAAGCACAAAAATGCCATTTTTCCAGAGCACACACCCCAGAAATCCCTGGCCAAAGGAGCAGCAGCATTTCTGTCCCAGGGGAAATAAAACTCAGTTCCTCTGTTCCAAAACACAACTTGTGTGCTGGCATCAAGTGGCCAGCTGAGTTATTCTCTCATTTTACATCCTGGCCACTAAAATATATCCAGCCCCCCTGGCAGCAGAGCATGAACAGCTCTTTAGGCTGTAAATTCTTCAGGGCACAAAGCAGTATTTTACATGCACCCAGTGCCTGGGACAATGGGGCACTGTTCTCACTGCAGTGGGTAGACAAATAAAAAATACAAATGACCCCTTTTCTAGACAGGCAACAATGCCTATTGACCTATAGCTTTAATAAACCCTCAGAGGGAAAAAATGGACTACTTCTGGAATTTAAAAACGTTCTGAAAAAAAGCTCTTCCAATCCAACCTGGGGAAAGACATAAATTCAAACATTTCTCTGCTGTGTAAAAGGAAAACTCTGAATGGCAAGGTTTTCTCTGTTCCTAGAAGAGGCACAAAATGGTGGTGTAAATCCTTATGGAAAATCCTGAGGAACAGTTTGTTTACAAAAGGAAAAAAAGAGTTTTCATCCTGCCCTAGATGAGCAGCTCAGAGCGTGCCAAGGCAAACACAAATGTCCAGCTCGCCAGTCAGGGTCAAAGATGTGGAAAATAAATACAAAACCCAAAATCTTTAAATAGAGTTTAGGGTATGATTCAAGGCAGAGAAAAGCAGAAATCCCAAGCTCAGACAGTCCCCCCCAGCCCAGAGGCTGAAAACAAAGCCCACATGCTGCAGCCCTGACAAGGAAAATCTCTCCTATCCAAAGCTCAGCTCTCTTCTAGGAGGCTCTGAACAAAAAGGAGGCTTAGAACAAAAAATATTCACAAAAACACTGAAAATGAGGTTCCTAGGCACTTAACCAACACTCAAATGTCCTGGGTTGAGGAGGGTGATTTTTAAATGATTTTGAAAGTATTTTCCCTCCAGGAGAACAGAGTTTTATAAGCCAGTTTACACTTCACGCAGCCTCAGAACCTTTAAACCATAGAATGGCTTGGGCTGAAAGGGACTTAAAGCTGATTTTATTCCATGGCCAGGGACACCTTCCACTATCCCAAATTGCTCCAACCCAAATCTAACTTGGCCTTGGACACTTCTAAAATCCCAGCACAGCATTTTGTGTCCCATTTACAAGGGTTTAGAAAGAACAAAGTAGAGGTATCTTAACAAAGCACACGTAGAGGAAAGAGGAAAACCCAAAACAAAAGAGAAAAATTCAATACAGAAGTTAACAATTGCAAATTGACTTCAAGAAAACAAGCTCCATGGGATTGTGCAAAGGAAGTTGTGTGAAATACTGACAGCTAAATTATCACAGGCTCCTGACTCAGAGCAATAGATGCTTTCAAAAATGACATGTAAACTTTAATAGACGATGGCTGTGCAAACTCTGGGGATGACTTCAAAAGAGTGAACCTTTCAAGAGAGGAAGTAAAATACAGAAAGCCAAGAAAGACAATGTGTGAAATGACTGTCAAGAGAGTCTGGTTTCCAAACCAAGCAGTGAATTTGGATTTTTTTCACGTCTCCTCTGTCCTGCAGCACACCTGGGTGAGGCAAACCCAAACACAGCTCCAGGCAAAGAGAGGAGAAGTCAGAGAAGGAGGAGAAAATGAAGCAGCTGCCAGCCCCACCCCACCCCAGCCTGCACCAACCTGGGCAGATTATCTGAATGCACCTGCTCCTTCCAATACCTGCTCTTCCATTCAAGCTCCTTTGGAGAGCTTCTTAAATTTCACATGCAAATGACGGCTATTCAGGAGAAGGGAAGGATTCCCACACTTGTTTTCTTGCAAGTCCAACTATAATTTTCAGCAATAATAGGAAGAATGAGGTGGGGGGGAAAGGCACAAATTCCCACAGATTGATTTTCCACAGCTCCAGACTGCACTTTCAGCAAATCCAATGGAATTGGGAGTTTTGCATTTCCTCCCTAGCACAGGAACACCTGCAAACTGAATTTCCACAACAACAGCTCCAAAACTGGTGCTCCCCCAGCCAGGCTTTGCATCTTCCAATTAACATCTGTGATTCAAGCAGATAATGATTGTTTATCTTCTAAATAAACTTGCAAGAATAGAAACGCACCTGGAGGGGATTCTGAGAAGCTTCTTGCCTCCAAACTGCCAACCACCCAAGCCAGCCCCACAAGAGTTGTTTTCTACACACAAGTGAGGTTGATTTACAGACACATGGAGCAAAACACGCTGCTCAGGAGGACCTGGAGGAGATTCTTTATGCAAATCACATATGAATGCTTCACATATGGTGGGGAGTAAAGAGTAAAATTCTAAAGGCTGAAAATGAAATGTGTCATCAGTGGAAGAGCACAGCTGAGGATCACGTGAGAACAGGGCTTCACTGAGTAATCATCAAAGCTCACTCTACCATTTAGAAACAATCAGGATTTTTAATGAAGAGAAAACACATTCAAGCAACTTTTTGCTATTTTACAGCAATAAAATGCGAGTTTTTGACAGATATGAGGTAAAGCATGTTCTAGCTCTGTGTTTACCACAGAGAGGGTACATCAGCATTCTGGGCAGCCCGAATCACTTTGCAGTGTGGATATCTGGCTCAACGCCCCTGTGAGTGTGCATCTGTGGCTGAATGTGCTGAGGTGACCTGGCCAGGCTGCTCCACCCCTGTGGGACCTGCTCCATCCCTGGCATCAGGATTCCCTCCGTTCCCTCCTTCAGGAACAGCCCCAAACTGCAGCCTGAAATTCATGAAACCCCTGCAAGCTCCAACCTGCAGCCTGAGCAGACACACTGAGGGGTAATTACAAAGTTCAGCACTCTCCTTTCATCTCTCCCTCTGCACAGTGAGCCCTTCCCTCACCTCCCTCAAGCCCAGCACACTCAACAATTCCCTCCCCATCCCCAGAGGAAAGAAGCCCCAGGTGAACCCCCAAGAGGGAGCATTAAGGGGAGATTTTGCTTTGCTCAGCCTGCTCAGGGCACTCCTCACTGTCCAAGACCCAAGAATATATATAAATAATAACAAATAATAGGAATATATATAATCATAAATAATAGGAAGACTGTGGTGGGGGGAACCCACACATTCCCACTGATTGATTTTCCACAGACTGATTTTCCAGACTGCACTTTCAATAAATCCAACGGAATTGAGTCTTGCATTTCCTCCCCAGGAACACCTGGTACCTGCAAACTGAACTTCCACCACCACAGCTCCAGAACTGCTGCTCACCCAGCCACTCTTTATTATTTTCCCACTTTATGACTTCCCTGGTTGCCTGCAGCTGCAGAATGCACTCCAGCAAGCATCCACTCCTGCTCCCAGTGCAAGACCTCATCCCACAGTCATTCCCCCAAATTTTTTGTCAAAACTACCTTCTCACTTCCTCTAATTCAGCAACACCCAGAATCAGGACAAAATCTGAATATTTACCTATCAGATATGTCATCCTTCTGCTGACACATCAATTCCAAACTTAAACACACAAAAAATTCACATAAAAACATTCAAATCCAAGGCTTATAAAAACTGCATTTCTTTCTTCAAGCTGCCTTATTTAAGCAGCAGGTGCAGAAAAGGGTGGATAATTTCTCCAGATCCCTGCACACAGTGGCCTTATCCCAGCTGGCTGACAAATCCCTGGCATCTCTTGTACCCCCACAAATTCTCTTTTTCTGTCTCTGCCCCCCAGACTTCCTTTCACTACCTTGCAATAAAATCACGTCCATCAACCTTATACCTTTTTTTTGGTTTTTTTTTTCAGTGCTGGTGGCCCTGACTGCTGCTTGTTTTGCCCTTCCAGCTTTTCCAAAATTCTGTATTTCCAGC